TATTTATTATTTATATATATATATATATATATATATATATATATATATATATATATATATATATATATATATATTATATATATATATATATATATATATATATATATATATATATATATATATATATATATATATATATATATTATCTTATTAAATAATTAGGTCAACAATACAAAAATATTACATTTTCATTTTTATTATTATTTTGGACTAAAATATCATTTTTATAATATACTTTTATTTTTTGTATAAATTATTATATTATTACACATAATTAATAAAAAATATTATTCATCAAGAATTAGGGTTTCTTGCCCTAAATAGAAAAATAATAAAAATTGACTTTTTATTTTATTTACATTTCACATTGAAAAATACTTTTTACATACTAAAAACATTTTGGCATAATACATTTTATTTACATTTATTTATTGTATTTATTTCAATTATTGTACATTTAAATATTGTATCTTGTACATTCAATTTGGTTGTAATAGTAATCTAGGGTTTAATTTCTTGTCAAATATCCCCAATTCAAATTTGTACCCCCTCCCTATATCATGTTGTAATAGTGTAGCATTTAAATTCTCGCACATTTAAAAGCTTTCAAATATGTCATGTTAGACCTAGGGTTTGTATGCAAATAAAATCAACAACTAGCTTGACCTAATCCAAGATAAAAATGCATGAAAAACAAACACAATGCACACTTGCACCCCTAGGGTTTCATCCACTTGTTGCCTTCAAAAATGGGCCATGGTTGTATGTCAAATACTTTGGCAAAACAAAAAAAACAAACAAAAAGATCATAGTCCCTCGATGACGCTATCTGAGTTGCCTAAATAAAATGATCAAGTCCCTCAAAACAATTGCCAAAGATACTTGATATTATTGCTATCATGGTCTATACGATGACTCGCGCCTGTCCCGTTTAACATCCTAACACAAGGTTGTTCACCAAATACAATGGTGAAGCAACACTGTTAAAAGGGTTGAAAACATAAGAAAGATATTTGAGTAAAATAGGGTAGATAACTCTTAGTTACTTGATCAAAGCTTGCAAAAACATCCTTGCTACTTTTCAAAAACACACTTCACAACACAATTTCAAAACCCTACTTTCAAACATTGAAAACTTTTCAAAAGACAAAAAACACCTTTGTATACATTCAAACAAGAATCATTACAAAGGTTGCCACAACGATGGCCTCTTTTCAAAACATTTTCCAAAATCACACACAAAGCACCATTTCAAACAATTGAAAAGCACCATTTCAAACAATTGAAAAGCACCATTTCAAACAATAGAAATGCAAAGCAAGTGATCTAAGCAAGTAACTAAGAGCCCATGGATAACCATGGATAGAAAGGGTGCTAATACCTTCCCTTTCTATAATCTACTCCCCGAACCCAAGAAAACATCTCAAAGGTCTTTCCTGTGCTTTTTGATCTTTCCTTAGGATAAAATAAAAAGTCGATGGCGACTCTTGCTAAACCGAAACATTTGCGAATACAAACGCAAAATCCCAAGTCAGTTCTCCCACCGTATCACATGCACCAAAGCCGGTCGTCTCACTACCCCTAAAAAAGGCCAAGATGGTCAAGTAAGGTTCTAAGAGTTCATTAGTGCTTCATGACATCACTCAGCGGCCCCGTATTCTCTTTGATTGGCTCAAAGGCTATCGGTACCCACAAATATGTCGCACTAATATAACTATTACTTCAACCATGTTGATATACCCCGCACAGTTTCCACAATGTATTGCTATTTACCTATGAATGTTTCCCAAATCCGGGTAGAGGATTTCAAACCCAAACAATAGAACCAAATGTAAAGCAATCAAGGCAATCAAGATAAGCATGCAAAGGTGATCTAAAACCCTAAGGTAACCCCACTTTTAGAAATCTCCCCAGTAGAGTCGCCAGTTCTGTGATACGGTGGGAGAACTGACTTGAGGTTTTGCGTTTGTGTTCCCGATTGTTCGGTTTAGCAAGAGTCACCACCGACTTTTTATTTTATCCTAAGGAAAGGTCAAAAAGCACAGGAAAGACCTTTGAGATGTTTTCTTGAGTTCGGGGGGTAGATTATGAAAAGGGAAGGTGCAAGCACCCTTTTCATCCATGGTTTTCCATGGGCTCTTAGTTACTTGTTTTAGATCACTTGCCTTTGCTTTTCAATTGTTTGAAATGGTGCTTTGTGTGTGGTTTTTGAAAATGCTTTGAAAAAAGAGGCCTTGTC